GGGAGGACCCACAGGACCTAAAACCCAAATGATTACGGGGGACAACTAATGTAAAAACAGGGACAGGAGTGCGATTAAAGGATCAAAAGAAGGGAACCTGACGGGGACACTGAGCAGAGAACTCCGGACAGCGCCCACTGCTCCTCAAAGGTGTCAAGGGAGCCAGTGGATGCCGCCCAGAGGAACTCTGCCCGGATACGTGAACGGACAGAGGATCGGAAACAGGCCCCACAGTCACAGGAACCTCCATCGGCCAACCTCCTCTCCCTGGTTTTATAGATGGCCTGTTTAGCCAGGGCCAAGAGGAAGTTGACCAGGAGGTCCCGCGACTTTGTGGGGCCACGGATAGAGAGTGCATAAATGAGAAGGTGAGGGGAAAAGTGTAACCAAAAACGCAACATAATGTCGGTGAGGAGCCCGTGTAGGGGCTGCAACCTGGCACACTCTAAGTAAACGTGAGCCAGGGTCTCCCTCACGCCGCAGAAAGGACAGGTGTCAGGGACAGGGGTAAACCGCGCCAAGTACACGCCCGTGCTCACGGCCCCATGAAGGAGCCGCCAACTGACATCCCCGGCGGGCCTCGGGACCAAGGTGGAATATAGGCTGGCCCACCGGGGCTTCTCACCCTCGACAGGTGGCAGGAGGTCCCGCCACTTCGTATCGGGGCGGGACACGAGGGTGAGGAAGTGAAGAGTGTGGAGCACGAGCGTGTATAGATGTTTCCTTGGCGCAGTCAGGAAACGAACCGGCTGCAAGTTGTGCAGCCGGCTCACGGAGAAGGGGCGGGGAGGCCGGTTGGGTCCACGGGGCAGGGGCCCCCTAACCATATGTAGCGGGGTGGTTACCCCGCTCCTGCCTGAGGGGTTTAAAACAGCCGTGGCAGAGAGCTGGGGCAAAGGGAAAAGCTACTGGGCTGATTGGGGAAGTAGCCACAGCTGGGCCACGCCCCAATCAGGCCCCAGCTGGCCTGTATAAGAAGGCTGGGAGCCAAGGGCTTAGGAGTTTCTCTTTCCATTCAGGGAGAGAAGGGCCTGGCTACAGGGAGCTAGACATAGGGTAGTTGTAGTGGAGCAGGGCTGGGGAGCTACAGCCTGGATAGCCCTAGGCTGTGGCCTAGTAGGAGGCCAAGGGGTACTGGGGGTTGCAGAGGGCAGCCAAGGCAGCAGGTCCAAACCCCCCTTGCCAGTGATGAGTGACCTATACTGCAGTCTGCCCTAGGGAGCGGGGGCTAGTTGGTGACTGGCAGTGGCCTAGTACTGAGGTGAGGTAGGGATAGTGGGTGGGGGTTCCCCTGGGAGGGGAGACCCTGAGACTGGGGGGTGTACTGCCAGGGGGCAGCACCCAGAGAAAGGGGCACCGGGGTCCTGGGGGGGACATGGGGTCAGAGGACAGGCGAATCACCAGCCTGCAGGGGGCGCTCCAGGATGCTGGAAGAGCTAATTCCCAGAAGTCACCAGCAGGAGGTGCCGCAGGGGTGAGTCCGCTTCTCTACACCATACAAGAATCATACTCCTAACTGACACAGGTATGCCAACAACTTTTAAATGTAGATCAGGCCTTATTAGGCCATGTCAAGACTAGGATCACTTTTTGTTATAGGTATACAGGTAAAGTGCTTCTAGTGTGGAAATAGTTATGCCAGCAAAGCTAACCAATACAGCTTATT